GGAAATGTGCCTGATAAGCTGTAAATATCCTCCCTGTGCAGTCCTCAGCCTATACAACGCTGGGGGACAGGGAATGGCTGTTGGTTTTGATTCCTAAACTGGCTCTGAAATGGATGCTTCACTCCTTCCTGCTGTCTCCTGTGGGGCAGAGCTTCAGTTTCCCTCATCAACCATCCAGGGAATAATTCAGACTTCCACACGGACTTCTTCCTCTCAGAGACCCAATGACTCTGGGAGGCCAGTAGGTACATCAGGAGAGGGTCGGAGAGGATGGAACCTGTCAGCTTCCTGAGTCATGCTTTTACCTGAGTCATCTGAGAGCACAAACAGCCTAGCCCAGAGACAAGAGATCACTCTGTCTGCATTCTTGGTTAAGTAACAATCTGTAATTTATTGAACACATTAAGAAAGATGTGTTTGATTGATTTGCACTACAAGGGCCATAGTTGACAATTAAGTGATGGTTATGCCTATACAGTTGACTGACACTGTAGAATGAGTGAGATGCATAAAGTAATTGCAGTAAAATGAAAATGAAAATGTATCTGAGATTTGTTTTTTTAGGGAGGAGGTAATAGGGTATTAGGCGGGAAGAACAGTGCAGTGGAATGAGAGTGTTTGCATAAAATTTTAATGATGGTGTGCACTTGAGCATGTTTATTGAAAAAATCCTGACCAGTGGAGGTAGATGGCACCTTGCAGAACAGTTCCTGAGACATTCATTGCAGTATTGCCAGAAGCCCATTCTAGCATGTCATAATTTCAAGAGTTTCATCAAAAGGTTGATGGAATTTGGGGTCTCATCAAGGGCTGAGTCACATATATATGCTGTCACCTGTTGGGAATGGCTGATGGCATTTCACCAGACCTGAATAGGATACATTAAAATGATTGCTTGGCTGCCAGACAGCTCAGTGCATCTTAATCTACATGTTATTGCCTCCTACTGGGGAAACACCTGAACAGCCGTAGGCTAATTCTCCCATTCTGACAATGCTTGTGTATACCCTTTGAAGTGTATATCTCTGCCTTGCCTCAGGACAAGTTGTGTTAATAAAAAGCATGGGGTCCTGAAAGGAGGAGACCTTAGAACAGCCGTGGGCAAACTACGGCCCACGGGCTGGATCCGGCCCGTTCAGCTGTTCTATATTGAAATAAAAAAAGAGCCCGTACCCTTTTATGTAATGATGTTTACTTTGAATTTATATTAGTTCACACAAACACTCCATCCATGCTTTTGTTCCGGCCCTCCGGTCCAGTTTAAGAACCCATTCTGGCCCTCGAGTCAAAAAGTTTGCCCACCCCTGCCTTAGAACTTAGATGTTAGTTTCCTTTAAACTAGGCTCATCTAACTCCCAAATGCCTTTCAAAATTATCTTTCATCTCTGGACTCTTATTTAATCTATGCACAGCCTTCTCCAGATTGCTGAACCCTTCTTAATGCTGGAACAAGAACCCCAGCACAGTATCTCCTCTTATGCTGGGTATTCATATGAGAAAATATTATTTAATAAGGCTAAAGAGGAATACTAAATAGTTTTGTTTTGAATTATTTTATTATTGGCTAGGATGCATATATTCTTGGACTATTTATCCATATCCTTTCTTTATTTTAACAACTCGTAGGAATTCCTATCCCACACTCAGCCTTTTCCCCCAGTGGTCATGCGTTCTCTACTTTTAATGAGAAATTCTGTCATGTTCTTGCAGAATATAAATTGAGGACTGGCCAACTTTCAGGCAAAGATATAGGGTGCTGAGAAAAAGTCACTATAGTTATGTAGATGGAGAAATAGAGGTCACCTGTTGTACCTTAAATCTTAATGCCACAGAGGCAGCACAGTCCATTTACATTTATGCAGTGAGGCCTTCACTGTACCAACTGAAAATCTATTTAAAATTTATTTTCTACTTCATGTGTGTCTTTAATATAAAATTCCCGTACCCAAGGAACCTAATGAATGAAGAGGCTTAAACTCAGTTTTCTCAGAAAAATTTTATTGAATAAATGTCTTATTAGAATCCTATAGCTGCTATAAGTATTCCCACGCTAGTTGTTTAAAACAAACAAACAAACAAACAAACAAACAAACAAACAAACAAACATATACTCTTATAGAAGCTTGAATTGAGTCTCAGTGGCTAATATCCAGGGTTGTGCAGGCTGGGGTCCTTCTAGAGCAGTGGTTCCCAACCTTCCTATTGCCGTGACCCTTTAATACAGTTCCTCATGTTGTGGTGACCCCCAACCATAAAATTATATTTTTTTCTACTTCATAACTGTAATTTTGCTACTGTTATGAATCGTAATGTAAATATCTGATATGCAGGATATATTTTCATTGTCACAAATTGAACATAATTAAAGCATAGTGATTAATCACAAAAACAATATGTAATTATATATGTGTTTTCCGATGGTCTTAGGCGACCCCTGTGAAAGGGTCGTTCGACCCCCAAAGGGGTGGCGACCCATAGGTTGAGAAGCGCTGTTCTAGAGGCTCAGGGGAGGATCTGTTTCTCTCTAATCCTGTTAGTGTTGCTGGCCCCCAGCACCCCTTGGCTCATCTTCCTTCTTCCATCTTCAAAGCCAGATGTATAGCATTTCAAAATGTCTCTGAGACCAACTTCGTTGTCTCTCTCTTCAATGTTAACAGAACCATACAGCTAGGCCTTATCGATTGGTTTTGACCTTTGTCATGAAATCTACTTTGCAAGAAGACTCTAGACCAGTACTCAGAGCAGTGGTGACAGTCTACATGGAGAGCAGGAGCTTGCAGCAGAAAGTTACACAACACACTGCTTCCTTTATTGATAAAATCTTGTTATGGAATAAATGTCAGTTGAACAAAAGCTTAGTGATGTTGTTGATTTACAGTCTATCCCAAGGTTCTTTTTACCTTCAGGGCCAATAACATTTTATGCACCACATTTTGAGTAACACTGTCATGGACTATGAGCGCCTTGATGGCAAGAACCTGCTATATTCATTTTTGTGTAACTGGTACATGGACATAGCAATGTGTATTGCACAGGTAGGGCTGGAGCAGGCAGAAATTTGGAAAGAAAAATTAAGATATGGAGAAGTGGGCAGTGGTGATTCTCAACACCTGGCATGTTAACTTGCTTCAAAGATGATGGATGGGTGGATGGATGGATGGATGGATGGAATAAGTATGATTAAACTTATTTGTGACTGAGTCATGTTGTTCTAAAGAGCAGGGTAAGAGAAAAAGAGGGCAAAGAAATTGTTAGTACTCTAGATGTGTGCATCAATTACTAATTCTTTGCATAGTCCTTCATATTTTTGCCATTTCCATATGCTATCCACACTAACATTTATTAATTCAGGTATCTACTGCTTCATGCCAGTTATTCCTAAAAAGCAGATGCACACAAAACTGTTCGTTTTGACTCTATAGTCCATTATTTTAAATGGGAAAGATTGTATTATATATCTTCACCAATTTCTTGAAATATAACCAAAACCAATTAAAGATTTATGTTTCAGTAATAAAATATCATGTTAGGATATAAAATACTTAAAACATTGCTTCCTATTGACTGCAAAATAAACATAGTTGTTAATAGGTGTTTGGTAAGAAGTCATATTTCTACTCCATTGGTCACATTTCCAAGATGTTCTTTTTACTCCCTCAACTTTTGGAGGACTGACTCATTGTAGAAAATAACCTTTGCTTTGGCAAAATGTAGAAGGTCCTGAGGAAACAAGTTCAGGACGAGCACACAATAGGAAGGAATGACTGACATTGAGTGTGATGTTATGATGATCTCTCTCAGCACCAGCAATATCTGAGACACACACTTTCCTTTGTTTTCATGTGGGGCACTTTTTCTATAAAACATTTTTATTTGAAACTAGAGACCCAGTGCATGAAAATTCACTGGGAAAATTCATGCACTGGAAGGGGGGTGTGCCTCAGCCAGCCTGCCCCCTCTCACCGTCCGGGAGCCCTCAGGGGCGGGAGGCGACCCAGCGATCAGGGGAAGGTGACACCCCCATTACACTTCTTCTGCTGCCACTGCCGGCAGCGCAAGCCTTGGCCTGCCCTGGTTACCTGAGCCTCAGGCGGCCCTGAATGTCTGGGCAGCTGCCATCTGAGGCTTGCCTGCAACTCAGGCCGGCCCTGGGTGGCTGGGCAGCTGACTGCTGAGGCTTGCCTGCACCTCAGGCTGGCCCTGGGCAGCTGGGGGGCTGAGGAGACTGGTGGACTCCAGAGGCGGGCACGCAGTAAGGCCCTGGCGGGGTTGAGGGGAATGGCACCGCCATGTTGTGTCTGTGTGCACCACCATCTTTTAGGGTGGGGAGGTCAATTAGCATATTCTCTCCTTATTGGCTGTGGGGGCTGCAATCTTTGAGGGTGGGACAGTCAATTAGCATATTCCCTCTTTATGGGCTGTGGAGCCACCATCTTTGTGACAGTGTGAGGGTCAATTAACATATTCCCTCTTTATTAGATAGGATAGTGTATTTAGCTTGAGGTATAAACTTTTCCTGTGTAATCATGGGCCAGAAAATATTATATTGAGATATAGAAATTTAAGCATTATCACCAGAAAAGTGCATTCTACTGGGAAAAGTTTAACCAGGAAGACAGTCTGTGGAATATACCCATATTTTTCTTTTATTTATTTATTTATTTATTTATTTATTTATTTAATATTGGGTTAGCATTGGTTAATAACATTATAGGTTATAATGTTAACTTTAATATGTAATTTGACATAATTTAGCAATTTTTCTTCTGAGTATCTGAGGAATATAAAAAAACAATTAAAAAAGATATATATACCCTTATGTTCATTTTAGCACTATTTCCAATAGCCAAGATATGTAAACAACCTATGTGTCCATTGATGGATGAATCAACAATGAAGAAGTGGTACATATATACAATGCAATACTACTCAGTCATAAGAAGGATTAGATATTGCCATTTGCAACAACATCAATCTGGAGAGTACTATGTTAAGTGAAATAAGTCAGAGAGAAAAGGACAAAAATCATATGATTTCACCTGTTTTTCTTTAGTCACCCACTTTTAGTTTTCTTAGAATTGACTTAATTTCCTCTTTTATGCTGTCAATCCATCACCTTTTACCTGGGAAAGAGATAAAACTAAAATGATGGAAATGGCTAAAAATAAACAACTAATAATAAAAACATCAAGTCTTTTCTTAGTTTTTCTAAATTTTTTACTTGAAAAATTTTAGACCTATGGAAATTTGAGGAACATCCATGTACCTTTAACCAATTATTCTGTTGCCACATTGATTTATCTCTTTGTGCACACATAAACACACACTTTCATTTAATATCAAATTTACAAACTATGTAATATATGAAATTCACATAGCATAAATTAAATCATTTTTAGGTGTACAATTTAGTGGCATTTAGTACATTTGTGATATGCATTCATCCTTCTAACTAGTTCTAAAACATTTGCATCAACTCAAAGAAGACTCCATGCTCATTAGGTAGTCATTTCCCATTACCCTCTCCCAATCCTGGCAACCACCAACCTACTGTCTGTCTCCACAGATTTACCTATACTGGATATTTCATATAAATAGAATTTTCCAATATATAACCATTGTGTCTGAATTCTTTACTTAGCATGTTTTTGAGATTCATCGATGTTATAGCATTTTATTGGCTGAATTATATCCCCTCAAAATTCACATGTTGAAATCCTAACTCTCAGGACCTCAGAAGATGACTATATTTAGACAAAGCATTTTTACATTGTTTTATGACTTCATTGTTGTTAATCCTCACCCAAGGATATTTTTCCATTGATTTTTAGGAAGATTGGAAGAGAGAGTGAAAGACAGAGAGAAACATTGATGTGAGATGTGAGAAAAACACATCGATTTTATGTCTTTGATGGGAATTGGTCCACAGGTGATGCTCTATCCACTGAGCCAAACCAACTAGGACAAAGGGTTTTAAAAAGAGGTTTTAAGTTAAAAGAAGGACATTAGGGTGAGCTCTAACCCAATATGACTTGTGTCCTTACTCAAAGAAGGGAGATTAGGGTAATGTCAGCAAGATGGCAGAATAGGAAGCTCCAGACTTCCTTCCCCTCACGGACACATCAATTCAACAACAATACATGAATCCATTTCCTTTGTGAAAAATCCAGAGATCGCTTGAGAGGCTCCTGCACCCAATTGAGTATGACACCAGCTGCATTGAAGCCAGTAGGAAAATTCATTGCACCATCCTGCCACAGGAGATGACTGAATTGTACCACCAACATTCTAACATTTTGAGGGTCTGCCTGAGGAACTGGGTTTTTTCATGCCGAGAATGGGCACTAATGGGAAGGTGCCACATGTTGGCAGCCAATGGGTTTTCTCCCTCACATTTCTCTCTCTCTCTCTCTCTCTCTCTCTCTCTCTCTCGTTTTGAGTATTAGAAAAATATTTTAAAAAATTAAAAATGGAACTACCATATGACCCAAAGATTCCACTTCTGGGAATATATCTGAAGAAACCCGAAATACTAATTCAAAAGAATATGTGCATCCTTATGTTCATTGATTGCAGCATTATTTGCAATAGTCAAGATTTGGCAGGAGCCTAAGTGTCTGTCCGTACATGAGTGAGATGTGAGATGTGAGGATAAAAAGCTGTTGGTACATTTACACAATGGAATACTATGTGGCTATAAAAAAGAAGGAAATATGATTCTTTACAATAGCATGAATAACTGGAGATTATTGTGCAAAATGAAATAAGCCAGTCAGCGAAAGACAAATACCATATGACCTCACTTATATGTGGAATCGAGTGAACAAATAAATTTAACAAAATAGAAACAGAAGCATAGATACATAGAACAGACTGACAGCTGTCAGATGGGAGGGGTTTTGGGAAGCTGGGTGCAAAACAGTGAAGGGATTAATAAAAAACATAGACAAAAGTATGGTGATAGCAAAAGTAAAAGATGGGTGGGCAGAGGTGGAGGTGGGCAAAGGGGGGATAAATGGATGCAAAGAGAATTTGCTTTGGGCGGTGAGCACATAATGCAGTGTGCAGATGATGTTTTATTGAGTTGTACACTTGAAACCCATCTGTTTCTTTAAACCAATATCACCCAAAATTCAACAAGAAAAATTTATAAATACTGCACTTCAGGAAATTACTCAGAACTGAACATAAGAGAAAGTACATGTAACAGGTTTAACACAGGAGTGTCTAGATTTCATTTGTGTTTTGAAAGAATCCCTCTGACTTCTGTGTAAAGAGGCATTGGAAAGTGACAAGAGTAGGAAGTGTTAGTCAGTCAGAAGGGAATTGTAGTGGTTCAGACGTGAAGATGGCAGCCTGGCTCAAGGGGGGGGGGGGTGAGGGAGACTGAGCCATCTGGGCACATGAGGGACATACTGAGAAGATAAGAACAATAGGGCTGTATAATGGATAGGTTGTAGTGGAAAATATGATAAGTGTGGAGTAACATTCAGGTTTCACACTTGTGCAAGGGGAGGGATGTAGTGCCATTCAGAGAGGGAAAGACACCATGGGAAAGGATAGGATTAGGGAGAAGAAGGTGAGTTATAAATTGGAAGACTGAGTTTAAGGTGTCTTGATGACATCAGGATGTCAATTAACTAGAAATAGTTCTCAGCAGAGAGGTCAGAGCTAAAAAAAGAAATGTAGTCATCATTTGCATCTATTTGGTGACTGAATCTCTTGCTTAGGAAGAAAGAATTTAATGAGAATTGCAGTTTTTCTGGACTGAATCTATTGGTTGAAGCTATACAAGAAACAGAGAAAAGCTAGAAATACTGGAGAAAAACATGGAAGAGGGGCATGTAAGTAGATTCTAGACAGGATAAGGATAGAGTGTTTCACGAGAAAGAGTGATAAATAGTGTAAGAAGTTTCTGGAAGGATATTAGGGGCACAGAGATCATTGCATATTTGCTTTGGTAGAATGATGGGGGAAAGAAGCCAAAATACATGAATTGAGGGAATAAATTTAAGGCAAGGAAAGGGATACAGAGAAAAGTCAACTCTTGGCTGGTAGCTAGAAGAAAATGGTAGGCCAAGTGGTACATGTTTGTAAGATAGAAAAAAAAATCAGACATGTTGCTACAAAATTGGGAAGAAAACTTTTGAGAAAGTGAGGGAAGAATGAAGGGGATAAGATTGGGAGAAAGACAAGGAGAGAGGAGGGAGAGAGAATGTGTGGACAATAATGTAAGGATAATTGATAAGGCAAGAATGATGGGATTCAAAGTGAAGATGAAAGTTGTCTTTAGAGAGAAGGGAATAGTGTCAATGATACAGCAATGTGGACAAGATGCATACTAATTTATGTGTGATTGAGAGTGTAAAGTTCACAGAGTCATTATGATGACTCGGATTTTCTCTGTGAATATATGGTAAGAATATTTGCTGAGAAAGGGAGATGGGATAGAAGATTCAACAGTGAAACCAGTGTTTGTGGAGGATGGGTGAACAGGTGAAAGATACATAGGACTTCCTGGGAGTATAGTAGGTTCCTTATTTATTTATTAAGTTATTTTAAAATATGTTCAATTGAGTTGAGAGAGAGAGAGAGAGAGAGAGAGAGAGAGGAAGAAAGAAGGATAGAGAAATAGAAACATCAGTGGACGGCCTCCTGGCTCCCCCCTACTGGGGATTGGACCCTCAACTAAGGAGTGTGCCCTGACCAAGAATTGAACCCAGGACCTCTTGGTTCGTGGGTCAATGCTCAACCACAGAGCCACAGTAGGCAGGCATAGTAGGCTCCTTTAAATGGGAAAGATCACGCAAAGGGTTTAATGGAAGATGGAAGAAGAGGTGCGAAACTACTAGTATAAGTAAGAGAACTTTCTATTTCTAAAAAAAAAAAATTAAAAAGAACTTGGTAAATCTAAACCACTGGTGATTCTTAGTAATCATTGCCATGAATTATCCCATGCAATGATGGCTTTTCATCCCTGTTTTTACAGTTGGTGGAGGGTGCTGAACATATCAGGCAGCCTCCTTAAGTCTAAAATGCTAGCTCATACATACTTCCATTTAATTCTTAAATATGTACATCATTTCCCCCCGTTTTTGTCTTTTTGTTGTGTGGTGCTGAGTGACTATGAGATAGAGGTGAATGGAAAGTAAGATATGTGGGTCTGAGTGAAATGTAAATCCCTGCTTCAGATTATTGATTCTTGCTTATTTAGTTAAACATGCATGGCACACACCAAGTATTCATTAAGAGTGCTAATGTGGGATTCTGAAGATGGCGGCTAGCATGACAGAGGTGAGGGAGCGGATGTGAGTGAGGGTGTGAAAGGGGAATGTGTGGAAGTGTGTGGTGTGTGTGTGAGTGAGAGACAGTTAAATATGGCAGGAGTATCAGGGGCTGGAAGACCAGGCTCTCCTGGATAGAGAGCACCTACCACTGCTGTGGGAGCTCCCCGGGCTGTGGGGCTTGGGCACAGAACCCACACCATCTTGAAGGGGAGAGCAGCCTCCTCTAGGAACTCATCAGCACCACCAGGCAGACTGGCCTTGGACATTGCCTGTGACCTTTCAGCCACACCAGCCCAAATCCTGCTTCCCCACCCACAGACATGCAGACCCTAGGACATCCACATCCAAGGGTGCACGGCTCCCACAGCAGTAAGTGTGACTTCCCCCTCCCTGGATGCTGACCCCCGGACACCTCAGTTGTGCCTTCCCAGCGCACAGGCCTCCTGAGCCCACCGCTCCATAGGTGGCTCCTGGGTGCCTCTGTGAGCCCCTGCTGGGTGCACTCATATCCAAACAAGGACGCACGGCCCAAGCAACAGAAACTTGATCTTCCCTTCCCCACCTGCCTGCACACAGACACTGCGGTCATGTGGCTTCAGTGCATGGGTCTCCCCTGAGACCACAACCCCGGAAGACGGCTCTTGGGAACCTTGGTAAGCAGCTGCTGGGCATGCATATCTAACCAAGGGTGCACATCTCCTAAAGCAGAAACTGGGACTTCTTCCTCCATGGGACCGGTGGCACACCATAATCACTCTGATTCAGCGTGTGGGCCCCACGAGCTCACCCCTGGAAGACAGCTCCTGGGCCCCTCTGTGAGCTGCCACTGGGCATGT